GGCAGACTCGCCGAGTCCGGGAATATGGACTCGTCGAGTCGCCAACTTAAATCGCGTGCAAAACCCGCCTATACTCGACGAGTCGGGCTACTGACTCGTCGAGTACCCCTTAAGAAATGAAAATTACATTATTTAAATCACATACCAGAAATGGGGCGTTACACTTAGGCTACAAGGCATCACATAACATGCCAATCTATCACTGACTAATCAGAACTGCATGCAAGTCTACAAGCCATACAATAGGCATACAAGACATCTCTCTTAGCATTCTAACATGAAAACACCGAGCAGATCCTCAGCCCTAACTAACATGCGATTCACAGATTCATAACTCAAGTCATATCAGATAACATGTATGGGTATTTTGGGAGAAACTTACTTGAGCTCGGTTGATTGCATGCACCACACCCTTTCTTGTATTAGAAAACTTGTTTTTTTTCCTTTTTAAGTCATTTTATTTCATTTTTGAAAAACTTTACCAAATCTTCAGTTTGAGTTCAGACACACCCGAGAGTGTGTCCGAATCCCTCAAACCAAGACTCTGATACCAACTTGTAACGTCCTAATAATAAGACCCGAATATTTCCATTTTTAAATTATTAAAATAGTAAATCGTATCATTTTTATGAAACCAAGGTAATCCAATCTTTATCAATACATCATTGTTATCAGAGTAAATCACAGAATGCGGAAACATGTGGTGTGTGCTCTGCAATCATCCCAAGCTCTTCCCTATGAAAACATAAGTACCTGAAACATAAACCAAAAACCATAAGCACAAAGCTTAGTGAGTTCCCCAAAATACCCCATACCATACATAATAAATCACATACTGGGCCCCCGCCCGGTATCGAGTCCCACTCGGCTTCGGGCCCCCCGGCATCGAGCCCCGCTCGGTACACATGTTTGTTATTCTTAGGCCCCGCCTGACATCGGTCCCCGCCCACTATACACATAGACATATATCACATAATCATACTAACACATACAATGGTTATACGATAATAGCATACGATACAGTCATCGGGCCTCACCCGACATCGAGCCCCACCCGGTATACATAGCAGCGCATATCACATGCAAGGATCACGCAGAATCCTAGCATCCTAACATAATTAACAAGGGCCGGTATTGGTGCCTTAGACCGGCTAAAACCAGTGAGGAAACTCACATCGTACTACCGGATCTCACAGAAAGAATCTCTGGCTGCTGGCCCACTAAAATCCCCGCGCTAACAATCACAAAATAATCATCCATCAATAATCGGATCCTGACCCACACTAAGTGTCCAAACTAGGGTAAAAGACCTTTTTACCCTTTTCCCAACTTGGCACAAGGCCTAGGCCCAAACCACCAATCCAAAGGCCCAAATCCTAATTAGCCACCCAAGGCCCAAAATCATAGCCCAATTTTCCAAATTGGTCCCAAATCCCATTGTGGGACTTCTCAAAATAATTATCAGCCCAAAACCTAATGGCCCAACAGGGCCCAAAACAACTAAGCCCAAAAAATGGCCCAAACCGAAGCCCAAACACCGAAGTCCAATATTGCTGAGTATGCAGGGCACACTCAGCTGTACACTAAGCGTACACGCTTTAGGGCTTGTACGTGGCGCGTACGAGCTTGTATGCCCAACGTACTCGTCCATTTAGCCAAATCTAATTTTTACTCCTTAATCCGTTAATACATTGCTCCAAAACGTAGATCTGGCTTCCTTGAGCTGGATAATCACGTAAAGTTGCTAACTTTACGTTCATGCATGGCTAAATGAAGCTCTAAAAGCTCAAAAGGACTTATTGGTTGACTTAATGCATGCATGTGACCATAAACCTCATAAAGCTAGCAACTTTATGCTTAAGAACTTCATAACAAGCTCAGCTCTAAAAGAATAATCCCTTCAAACGTCTTAACTCATCAATCAACCTAAAAAGGGACCAAAAGCATAAAATTTAGACATAAAGAGATCTAAGCATTCAAAATCCAAGGTATGAACTTGATACCTCAAAAGACTAGCAAAACGAGTGAAGATTCTGGATCTCTAAGTTTCCCACCAATCTATAAACCTTCCACATTCTTCAATCTCTTCCAAAATGAGCAAACAGACACCAATTTCTTCTCAAGGACTCAAATGCACAACAATGGAGGCTAAGGGTTAATTTCTAGGGTTTAGGAGGCATGAAGGTTGGTAAAGAGGCCATCCCTAGGGACTTAAGGTCTTTATATAGGGTGCAACACATTTAAATTATGGTTTCTTAAACTCCTCGTACACCCCGCGTAATCCTAGTACGCCCAACGTACGAGGCCTCACATCCACGATCAACCCCTCTTAGTACGCTAAGCGTACACTAGTGTACGCCTCGCGTACTGAACCTCACACTAGTACGGCCTGCGTACTCCCTATGTACGTCCCGCGTACTAGGGTTTTTCCTTAAACCCTAAATTCATCCGAAGGCCATAACTTTTCCATTATAAGTTCGATTTCGGCAATCCTTATATCCTTGAAAAGATAAGGAAAAGCTCTAGACTTTTATCAACTCATACCTGCCATAAACTTCCCGAACCAAAATCCAATTTCCATGAAAGCCTGAGCTGTTATTTTCCCAGAATACCCCTTGGCTCCAAAACACAAACCGAACACCCGGACCATCTAAATTACGTCACCCACACCCAAAATGGGTAACGATTTGGGATAGAGCGTTACACCATCAACCTTATGAATGGTTAGTGCAATGATAAATTCATGTTTGGATGTATTCTAGACTAATCTATTATGTCTTTTTTTCCTTTCAGAATTAGGTAGCTTTATTTGTACCAATTGACTTGAATTTATGCTTAAACTAGTATGTTTATCTATGGATTTGCACTAAATTTGAATAAGAATGATGATGTTTGATTCTCCAGTGAGTAATTGCTTCGATGAAAGATCAAATTACAACCGTATTAAATTTGGTTACAAATTTTAGACTAGAGCTTTAATGGTTGTTTGCATATCTTCTTTGACATGTATGCTTCTATCTCTTTTTTCCATTAATATTACATGTATCTTGAAATCTTTTCATTATTCTTAAAAGTATGCACTCAAATGTTAAAGTTTCAAATTTTATATTACCTAAAATCTTGGGCTTTTTTCCATTATTCTTAAATTTTTTTTTCACAAATAATGTTTTATGTCTTTTTTTTTTCTACACTTGGTTGGAGGTTTGTTGTATCTTTAAGTATTAAAGTCTACACCATCAAAATAGAAACAAACTATTCCTGTCAAGATGCATCAAAACTGAAGAAGAATGTGTGTTAGACATGTATTGTTCTTTAAGAGCATATTTTATTTTTTGAAAAATGTTATATTATTCTTCAGGCACTTCAGTTATCCAATTGTATTTAAATTTTTTACTCTTCAAGAATATCTTTTTTTTTTTTCAAAAATGTAACTATTATTCTTAAAGAATATCATATATGAACTCGTAATTCATGACTCATTTTCAAGAATGAGAATTATCATAATGGAAATTGAATTGTATCCTGGAAACGTTCAAAGTAATCTCCAATAAAGCTTATTCTTCAAGAATGAGAATGATAAGAGTGTAAATTGAAACTTATTCTTCAAGAATAATAATGATATGAATGAAAACTGAATTTTGGATATTTTATAATTTTACATTCTTTAAGAATACGCGCTTCTTTGCTTCTAACTACAAATTCTTGTTATAGAAAACATTGCATTCTAAAACAATGTTGTACTGATTTACCAACATGCATAAACTGATATTATAAATCTATATTCTACAAGAATAAAGTCATTTTAAAATAATGCATATTTTTTATCTGTGTGCTATAAATAATGAAGAACAAAACGTAAGTGTTCTATGTCAATATTTTTTTTGTGATAATATAAAAAAAATAATTTGTTTTGATAAAATTAGAGTGTAATATGTATCCTGATAATTTGCATTTTCCTAATTAAATGGTAAACAATTTTACTAATATTCCCTTATATTTAATTATGTGTAATTATATAATAAATGTTATCCCATTGTAATAATATTTATCCTCATATCACAACCATTCATTATTTTAATTTAATGGACAAGAAGTGGTCATACATTCACACAATATTTGTAGTTCACATTTATTCATAACCATATATATATATATATATATATATATATATATATATATATATATATATATATATATGTAATCGAGTTAGCGGGTTAACCATAGCGATCCCAAACATGTAACCCAACCCAACCCATTAAACAAACGGGCTGGCAGGTCAAAAATCTCAACCTGAACCCGTTTACATGTTGGGTCAGTGTCGGGTTACAGGTTGGATCGAAAATTGTCACCTCTACATCCCATTGAATGAAAGTGTAGCTCATGAGGAGCAAACATAGCAAACTCATGGCCGTGGAAGAAGGAGACAACAATATAAAGAATACAAATGTCTCATTGATTTAATAAATGAACTACAATTATGCTTAGCTTTGCAATGACTACGAGCTTAAAACGGGCCAAAAAACTTAAAGATATGGTTTGGCCATGGATTATTTTATTTCATTTGTGGAATTAATGAAAAATTTATCAAATATCATTTCTCAAGAGAAAAATATGAGGCATAAAAAGAAAAATAACGGTTTTATTGTATAAAAACATAATATAAAATGGTTTTATTATACAAAACCAGAACAAATAATGATTTTATTATACGAAATCATAATATAGAATATGAAATAATAAGATAATGATTTTTTTAGGTATAAAAGATAATAAAGAGCTTATTCTAAATTCGTAAATATTTAATAACTTTTAAGAATTTATTGGTTACAAAATATTATTCTATACATATTAAAAAATAAAATGATTTTAGTATACACAATAATAATATAAGTATTTTTTGAAAGATAATTAAATGAGTTAATTAATCTTAAAAATATTTAACCATAGCATCTACGTATGAGGTTGCAAGTGATTTGTGTGTGCTTGGGATAGAGATATACATAAACAGGCCAAGGTCCTCTTTTCTCTTCATTTTGTGGTGCTCAAGAGGGTTTGTTCCATACAAGAAAACCTAGAATTTTTTCAACGAAGAACAAGATACAGCCTTCACAACTTCAGAGACGCCCAAATCTTCTCTCTACTTCTGTCTCTCTGTTCTTCTATTTTCTTTCTTTTCCTTTTCACACACCTCTTATCTTCGTCATCTTATCTTTATCTTTTCGTAATCGGCGATGGATCCATATTATATGGTTTCTTCAATCATCGAGCTTCGCAAAGGTATGAATTCAGCACATACAGCTTGTGCTACAATCAGATCTTGCGAATTTACTGTACTTTATGAGATCTCTCTGGATTGGTGAATTAATAATGTGTGCAGTTGTGGTTTTAGCTGATTTTGTTTTTTTATGATTATTTCCTTTCCTGAGCTCCGTTAGCTTCGTGTGTTTTTATTACAGTAGGTTATGAACGGCAAATCATTGTAATTTTAGTTAATTGTAATTACGTTGTAATCTGGAGTTCTAGGAAGGAGATTTTGTTGGATCTGGTCTATCGATAATGCTGTAATTTATGAAAAATATCGTCTTGGCCCTAATCATTCGAGTTTTTTTTGAAGGTTTACAATCTTAAGTCTATAGTAGGTTGTTTCCAATGGAGCTTATCTTATTTTTGGTGAATCATATGGTATATGTGCATTGAATAGTATGTTGACTGCATTTGTTTGCTGTGTTGTTTGGATAACAGAAATTGTGAAATGCAATTTTGAGATTTTTTTGTTTGGTTTATGGTCTAAAGATATGCGTTTTGCAGGATTTGGGTAATAAGAGCTGCAATTTGCTGCTTCAGTTTCAGAGTGTTATATTATATGCCCTTAGATTCCTTTCTGTTTATTGACCTTGAAGAATAATGAGCTTGTCCAATCAAGGGGCTTCCGCCATTGACAAAAAGCTTATCACAACAGGGAAAACAATACGTTTAAATCCAGATGCAGCAGAATTTGTTCCATTTGCTCTAAGATCACCTTCTGCAAGTGTTGCTGCTCCGGATGCATCTTCAAGTTTTGGTAATTTTTGGTGCTACAACACCAGGGAAAGCAGTACTAGACAGATCAGAGTCATCTGTATCAAATACTTCAGATGATGAAGCTCACCAATACTGGCGTCATCAGCTACCTGATGACATCACTCCTGATTTCAATGTTGCAGGAGAAGAAGATCCTCAAGGAATCAATACACTTCCTTTCTCAACCTTATCTTTAGCAGATGTCAATGAAACAAACGGAAGTAGCTTTACCAAAAAGATGGGGTATCCCATTTCATCTTCCTCAGCTAGTTTTCATCCTGCTAAACCCTGGGACATTCATGGTGATCAGCTACACAATGGGCCTTCCTACAATGGTGATCCTGTCCATGGGTACCTAGATGATATGCTTAATGAGCAACAGATGGAAGGTACAGAAGTAAACCCTCTTGAGTTTCTGGCTTCCCAGTTTGCAGGTTTTGCAGCTGAAAGTCTTGCAGATGTTTATTTTGCAAATGGAGGCGACTTGAATTTGACAATTGAGATGCTTACTCAGCTTGAGGTATATCCTATATCCTACCTTTAATTTCTGATGTAAAGATTTTTATTAATGGTTTTCACATTCTAATTGCAGCTTCAAGTAGATGGTGGTGGTTTAAATCAGAATCTAAACTCAAAGGCTCTATCTTCTCCAAATCTTAGTGCTATGGATTTTCCTGCACTTTCTCCTACAGATGATCAAAATGGTGTCCAACAGCATATTAATCCTTATCGTCCTTTAGAGAAAGAGAACTTGCTGATGTTCAAATCTTCATCAGGTGGTGCTCCACTTCCATCTGGTGGTGCTACAGATTTTGCTTCTGCTGTTAGAAAAATGGCTTCACAGGACTCAAGCATATGGAAATATAACAGAAACCCTTCTCAAGATTCCACCATTGGATCAAGTAGAAGCTCTCATGTCTTGGCCAGTGCTTATAATGGCGGTGGACATGGAAGGGTCAGTTATGGAGATAGATTGGGTGGCCGGAGTTCAAACCGCTCAGCCCCTGTTTGGGCTTGAAACTGGAGATGCTGTTGGTAATAATAATAATTAAATTCTCTTTTCTTGATTAAACATAGTAATAATAATTGTTAAAAAGTAGTTTCTTTTAGTTGTATGAATGAATGCTTTTTAACTTTGTTGACATGACATGACAGCAAATATGTATTCTGAGATGCGTGGTGAAGCTCGTGATCATGCACGTCTACGCAATGCATACTTTGAACAGGTATATATTATAATTATTATTTTTTAAATAAAAAAAGTGTTAATATATTGAAATGAATTTAATGACATAATTTTAGGCTAGACAAGCTTACCTTGTTGGATACAAGGCTTTAGCAAAGGAACTAAGTGTGAAGGGTCAACTACACAACATGCAAATGAAGGCTGCTCATGGAAAAGCTCAAGAATCCATATATCGTCAAAGGTTAATTTCGTCATTTCTGATTTTCAATTCCTGACCCGGTTGTTCTGTAATTATTTTGTTTTTTGGAGGGCAGGAATCCAGTGAGTCCAAGCATGCAAGGAAGAGGGGGAGGGGGAGGAGGAGGAGGATCACAGGAAAGGCTGATAGACCTTCATGGGCTGCATGTCACAGAAGCGATTCATGTCCTGAAACGAGATCTCACAATGCTGAGAAACGTTGCCAGGTCAGCAGACGAGCATGTACAGGTGTACATATGTGTTGGAACGGGGCACCACACCCGTGGGACCCGCACGCCAGCTAGACTCCCGGTTGCGGTCCAGAGATACCTGCTTGAAGAAGAGGGGCTTGACTACTCTGAGCCTCAGCCTGGGCTCCTTCGGGTCCTGCTATATTGAAGACAACACCAGCCACCAGGTATTATATAGTACTTCTTTTTGACACAATAAAAAAAGATTTAAAAAAGAAAAAAAGGCTTTAACCCCATGAAAATTGGAAGTATTTGTTTGTATATGGGAAGAAAGAGATTAGTTGGTAGCCTGAAAAAAGAAAAAAAAAAAGAAGAAAAAAGTGTATCTGTGTATGATTTAAGGTAACCATGTGTTTTGGTTTTGGGTAGGAGGGAGGGAGGATTCGTTGCTTATTTTTTGTTAACTCAACTCAACTGTACTGTAATTTTTTGTTACACAGTTTGCACTTTGCAGATGTAATGAATGTATGATGATTGATAGAATTGTTTTATATCATAGATTTTTCCAAAAATCAGTCATTTGTTCTTGGGAATCATGTTGAAAGTGGTTATCTTATTAATCATATTTGAAAACAAAAGGGTTGCGACCAGCTGTATTAGGTGGTGGTGGAAAGGGGCCACTCAGTCAAACGTTAGGTTAAAGTCTTGTCGAAGAGATTAAAGTCCATAATGTTTTTTTCTTTTGTTTTGTTAAAGGGATTAAAGTCCATTTTTCTTTAAAAAAAAATCATTTTAAGAAAAATGAAAAGTAACTGTTACCTTTGCCGTGTCATTAATTAGTAAGATAGCCACATGGATGAACATGTATGTAGGGATTAAAGTCCATTTTTCTTTAAAAAAAAATCATTTTTCTTTTGTTTTGTTAAAGGGATTAAAGTCCATTTTTCACCTTTTGTATTTTATTTATTTTGAAATTGAGATGGCCCACCTCACATCACAACGTACCCTCCAACCCGCTCTCGTCTTCATCCTCAAATCATATAACAGTACGGGCCTCCTATTTTAAATTTTTAATTGAACATAGCAAACATGAGGATGTTCAAATCGGGTTTAGGTCTCACTAGAGTTCCATCATACTATTTAGCGTTTTCAACGGTCGCTCTTGTTTCGTATTCGCCTCTCTTAAACGCCCTTCCAGTCTCCAAGATCCGAATTGACAACTTCTTGTAACCTAGAGATGCGAGACATAATGATTCTTGCATCAACAATACGAACAATTGGGTTGAAACGTAACGAAATTAAGAGAAACTCTCTAACCCTCACTACAATTTGTAAATTTGTTGTTTGGTTTCATAAAGACAACCGAATAAATAGTTGACATCAATCTCATCATCCTTTCTCCCAACCTTTCTATTATTTAGAAACATCAACGGAAAAGACAACCATAAATAAAAATAAAACATGATAAAAATTAATCATCTTTTCTCCCTTCTACATAGCTCTTTATCATCAATGTGGGTCACATATATATATATATATATATATATATATATATATATATATATATATATAATATATATATATATATATATATATATATATATATATATATATATATATATATATATATGCTATCTTCTTGTATTGAATCTTGAAAATTTAAAACTAAAGGTTACCTCACTCAGTAAGAATATATTCATGAGTGTTTTTTTTTAGAACATACAAGTCTTCTTGTAACCTAGTGATGTGAGACAAAATGATTATTGGATCAACAATTCGAGCAATTTAGCTAAAACATTACGAAATTAAGAGCAACTTATTTTGGATTAGCCTTGTACGTGAAGAATGGATAAACATCCATGGGAAATGAGAGCACATTTTTTTGAGGAAATCCAAGACCAGAGCGATACTTCATGTTCTTCCACATAAGATTAATCTCCAGACCGATTCATCTAAACTTGTTCATCCACATTTTTTAGGTGACATTACAATCTTCTACAATAGGTTAAGGGTCAAAATAATAGGTAAAACGAAGTTTATGCCCCTAGACCACAAAAAAAAGTTATGGATATTTTAAAACAAAATGACAGATTTGTAAGGCCTCAATTACATTATCATTAATCTATATCTATATGATATTATTTGTTGGTGGTGATTACTTCAATAATAATTTGAATTTATTAATGTTGAACTTATATTTTAAGTATTTAGCCCACAAGTTATTAAAAAAAATTGGGTTTGCAACAAAAAAAAAAAAAAAAAAAAAAAAAAAAAAAAAAAACTTATGGTTGAATTTTTTGATTTATGCGGGTACGTAAGAGACTGCATACTGTGCAGAGTCGGCAGAAGAGTTACACAGATTGACGTCGATCCAATCTTGAGTTTCAAGTGGGGTACCTTATGTTTCTGAAGGTGCCGCCTTGGAAGGGTGACATCCGGTTTTAGAAACGGGGCAAATTAGGCCCCGGGTATATCAGACATTTCAGGGTCGTTGCTTGGGTGGGGAAGGTTGCCTACCGTTTGTAAGCCTCGAGATTTGGGCCTATTTAATGGCACAAACCCCTAAGGTTTCGTCATTCCCTTAGCCTCCACTTCGAGATAGCATCCATTGCAAACCATAGCCTCCCCCTCTTGTATTCTTGAGCCTTGTGATATTGTTTGTGTATCTTAAAGGAGAAAAGAGAGCCTTGTAGTGCAAAGAAGTTTGATTCAAGAAAGATCCAACCATTTAAGCATCTCCAGGACCTTTGTAAGTCTTATAGCTTGGAGCCTTATGTGCTTACATAGTTACATGAATAGATCTAGAAATTTATGCATTATTATGGACCATTTCATGATATTTATGGGGAGTTCGGAAAACTCTGGGTCCAAATCTTGAGTCTTGGGGTCTTCTGGACCCATGGGAGTGTAAGACTCTAGTTTTCATCTTTTCCTTTTGAGCCATGCAAGGCCTTGTGTGTATTTTGAGCTAAATCTAGATCTAGGGTTAGTACTAGGTTGGTTTGATGCATGCAAATGGATAACGTTGTAAACTTTATCCATTAAGTTCATACTTGTAGTATTCTTGAAGTTTTGAGCTTTGGTCTTAAAGGATTAAGACCTTAATGAAAAGTTGGCTGACTTACAGTGAATGGCGACGCAACCATAAGGGGGTTGCAATGCGAGTCGCGGTGGCTAGTTGTGACTATTTGTCACTTAGTGAACGCGATGTGACATGGGTAAGAGTCATGGCGCGTGGCCGTTGACTTTGACCAGTTGGCCATTAACCGTTGGCTTTTTGACCAATTTGAATTTTTATCAAACTTGGTGAGTTTAAGCTGTAGGGCGAGGTTTGACCTCTGTTTGTTATCTAGGTGGTTCGTGAGACTGATCCTTTCATGTTTGAGCGTGTACCTGTGTTTCATCAGTTTTCAGTTCAGGTGAGTTATCTCACTATACTACGTATTATAATATATATCCTTTGTGTGTTAGGGTGTAGATGTATTGTAGTATGCTGATTAGGCAAGTAGGCTAGTATAGTCTTTTGTCTGTTGATTATGTGTGTAACATCCCAAAATTCAAGACTAAAAATTTCATTTTTAATTTAATAATTATAAAACAATTTGTCTGAAAACATCATAGAAACAACTCATATCCAAAACCAATGTATCATTAGTCAAATCATGTCATGATAAAACAACATCAGAGTATAACTCCCAAGAATCTCATGTGCGGAAAACATGGTGTGATGCGCTGCAATCATGCCGACTCCTTTCCTTTCTAAGAAGTACCTGAAACCAAAACTGAAAACCGTAAGCACAAAGCTTAGTGAGTTCCCCCATCATACCACATACCATACAAATAACATACTGTCAGACATATCTGGGTGCCCGACCTACCCCTTTCGGTCTCTTTCAACCGGTAACCTCCTAGCATATATGGGTGCTGGCCTACCCATTCGGTCTCTTTAAACCGGTAAACGCCTAGCATATCTGGGTGCTGGCCTACCCTTTCGGTCTCTTTCAACCGGTAACCGCATAGCATATCTAGGTGCTGACCTACCCCTTCGGTCTTTTTCAACCAGTAACCGCCTAGCATGTCTGGGTGCTGGCCTACCCATCGGTCTCTTTCAACTGGATACGGGGACTATTTCATGTCACACCCCCAAACCAGAATGGCGGAAACATTCGGGGGCGGATGACTTCATGTAGTATCATAACAGTTGAATATTTGTAAAGAAAGTAAACACAACCATCATAAATATAATTTAAAAGTTACATTGTTGAATACAATACATGTCTCAAAATAAATTACAATATGATGATTTAATAAGTTTTAAGACTGACGTCTTAGCGTCCCTTCTCCAAAAGCTGATGATTTACCTGTATTACTGAATCCCTGAGAAATACAAGTAGTTTTGAAAAAGTGTCAACAATTAAGTTGGTGAGTTCATAAGCGTTTTTGTATAAGAATAGTATCCTTTTTGGTGTAAAATAACTGAGTTTGTTTCTAGAAAATCCAATATTTTCCATATATGTGTGGTAGTTTGAAAAGGTTCCAAAGACTGAATGTATAAGTGTTTTCCATACTTGAAATAGTATAAGTAGATTTATATAAGTATATATAATCACTAAGGCGTTTAACAGCCCCGTAAACCGAGATGTATTAATACCCCATGTGAGTTTTTATAACCGTGCTATTGACCCAGACTGCCTGTAACAACGTTCGTCAGACGTTGGAATGATATGACGTTTGTCACCCCAGACCTGCCGGTCTAACTGTAGCTAACAGTTTAGGTGCGGGATTGTCAGCCCCATATAGATCTATATACAAATATCACGCTCTCCCTATAAGAGATTATGGCTTATAAAACAGGACTTAATCTGCGAACTGAACGGTTCGATGAATTCAGATTTCTCACAAAATTTGGTATCACAGGTTTACATATGAAAAGTCCATTTTCCTTGTGAATATAAATATTTCCTCTTTTGTTTATAGTATGTAAAAATATCATGAATATCTCGTAACTATACCTATTATAGTTTTAAAAAGGGTGTTCCGTTAGGATGAAAACCTTGGTGTATTACCAACCTTGCATGAAAAGTAGTCTTTAACTTTAGTAGTTACGTTATTTTATGTATTTAACATTTATACATAAGATGTAGGTAAAACATTTGAACTTATAAGTATTTCAACGTAAGTTTTTCTTGTGTTTCACTTGTATTTTCCCCCCTAAAACATGAAAAAGACGTGAAAATGTAGGGGTATGAACTCACCTGATAAGTGGTGAATCGGGCAGCGTGTCGTTTCTAGGAATGATCTTTCTTGATGTAACCGCGGGTTTCTGGTGAAGAAATGAGCTTCACGCGGGCAGTACTTCGACTGGAAAGAATGTTTTTCTCTGGAACTTCGGGGCGTCGGGACTCGCGTCGTGCTTTAGGGGTGTTACCGGGGCTTCGGGGTGGTTTAGAGGGGCTTAACAGTGTGTAGAAGTAGGAGAGAGGATAGATTTTAGCAACCAAGGTCGGAAGGCTTTGATTTCTATATATAGCCCAAGATTTGACTCTCACGTCGTGAGTTTGGTCCCGCTTCGCTCATGGCATGCGTCATAAGTCCGCTTGCTTCTGGAAGAGTCAATCAGCCTGCTCACG